CTCCTTTACTTCATATCTCCTTTTTTCTATTTATAGAATTGTTATAAATATCTCCTTTTTAATAATAAATCTATTTTTTTTTCTTCTCTAGCATCTCATTTGTATTCTATATATCTCCTTTCTGTTCATATATATCTCCTTTCTATCTTGTATATCTCCTTTAAAATTTTAAATATCTCTTTCATATTCTAATTATCCCCATTCTATGATAAATATCTCCTTTCTATTCTAAATATCTCCTTTTTATTTTAAATATTTAAATTTCGGTGATGGTGATGGACCAAACCTCTGTAGAGTAAAAAAAAGTAGATTATATTCTAAATATCTCATTACTATTCTAAATATCTTCTTTTTGTTCGAAACATCTCCTTTTATTCTAAATACCTCCTTTCTACTCTAAATATCTCTTTTCTATGCTAAATATCTTTTTTCTACTCTAAATATCTCTTTTCTATGCTAAATATCTCTTTTCTACTCTAAATATCTCTTTTCTACTCTAAATATCATTTTTCTCTGCTAAATATCTCTTTTCTATGCTAAATATCTCTTTTCTTGTTTAATATCTCCTTCTACTCTCTTATAACCTTTCTTCCAAGAATCTGCTGAAGCTAGAAGTATCTAGTTTCCCCTTGTCTTCAGTTTGCATTCTCTGCTCTTGAGCTAAGATTTTCCAGACACACCTTTTTTACGCGCGTTCTACGCGCGGCGCGCACATACATGCTTAGTGTCTAAATGTCATTCTGGTGTCAAGAGAAATTCCTACAAAAAATATGTCAAACTTGTTGCCACATTTTTTCTATTTTCAGTATTAAAATTGTTGACATTCTTTTTCCCCCAACGCCGGTTGGTCTGACGATGCTAAGCATTAAGTATGGATGATGGTTTTGGTATAAAAGCCTGTGATTGAGGTTGGATAGTTACTGCAGCTCTGAATTTACAGTGGGCGGTGTTCAATACTTCAAAACTTCATCAACATGTATAAACTTCTGGTAAGATTTAGTTTATTTAACATCATTTCTATCTTTTACATTAATTCAATCTAAACAGTATTTTCCCATGACTATATTTCTGTTCTTTATAAATATATTGATGTTCTCTGTGAATAATATATTCCTGTTCTTTATGAATAATATATTCCTTTTCTCTATGAATATATTCCTGCAGTTCTCTATTAATAATATATTCCTGTTCTTTATGAATAATATATTCCTGATCTCTATAAACAATATATTCCTGTTTTCTATGAATAATATATTCCTGGTCTCTATAAACAATATATTCCTGTTTTCTATAAATAATATATTCCTGTTCTCTATAAACAATATATTCCTGTTTTCTATAAATAATATATCCCTGTTCTCTATAAACAATATATTCCTGTTTTCTATAAATAATATATTCCTGTTTTCTATAAATAATTTATTCCTGTTCTTTATGTATAATATATTCCTGTTCTCTAGGTTATCTGTGCTTCTGTGGCAACTGCCCTAGCCTCCCCTGTAGCTGATGCTGATCCTCACTACGCCGCCTACGGATATGTCCCCGCCCTGTACAACTCCTATCCTAACTGGCCAGGAGTCTCCACCCCCTACTCCTCCTCCACCTGCTTCGGATGCAGGGGTAAGAGGTCTGCTGATGCTGATGCTGATGCATCTGCTCTGTATGGATATTACGGATATGCTCCCTATGCCTATGCTCCTTATGGATATGCTCCTTATGGATATGGTTTGACCGGAGTAGCTGGACACCCAACTGGAACCTCTTACACCGCCAGATCTCCCCAGGGTCTTGGCAAGAGGTCCGCTGATGCTGAACCCGAGGCTGATGCTTACTACTCTGCTTATGGATATAGATACCCCACTGCTTATGGATATGGATATCCCAGTGCTTATGCCTACGGATATGGATACCCCAGGGCTTATGGATACGCCAGATGGTAAACCATGAAATTGTTATGTTGAATGTTGATAATGAATAAATTTTAGATTTAAAAACAAGTTTAGATATATGGTAGGGAAATTATACATCAATTGTTCATTTCTTTTAATATGTATAACAAAATATTCTTCTAAAAAAGAAATGTGTTTTAATTGGAAATGCCTGACGAAAAAAAGCCTGAAAAAGTCCTAATTTCATCAATGACTTTTCCTTGGTACTAAATCTTAAAGCCACGATGCAAAGCCTTAGTCTTGAGTTAGACTCAACTCTTACTGATCATATATCCCACTTTGTGAGTTTTGTCCAAGTGATTTAATAGTTTTTTAATAAGACTACTTGACTCTAAAACATTGTTTCAACATATCTTAAGGCTCTATCTAGCCTTATGTTAACGTAAAAAGCAGCTTAGTTTCGAAACAGCTTTTTCAGAATTATTCGAATCAAAACTTCTAATTTAAGAAGTATTTTGTGCTAGGAATTAGAACTTTTCTGATCACCTGTCTGATTTCATCTCAGTCGCTGATAATAGTTTTAAAAGGTTTTTCTTTCATAATTTCTGTTGAATTAGCGTTTATTTATCATAAATTATTCAAATCGGAACCTCTAATTTTTAGAAATTTGCAATAAACGTATTTTTTTGTGCTGGAATTGGGACTTTTCCGAATACCTGAGATGGAATTTAAAGAATTTGAGCCGCGATTTAAATCTGCCAAAACCCGGTTTAAATTAAGCGCCGGCTTAAATCTTGAAACATTTGATACAATTTGAAGTGGAACCAACCATATTTAAACCGCCGCTCAAATTCTTTAAATTCGGCCACGATTGATCTGATTTTCACTCTATTAGCCGATAATAAAATTAAAATGTTATTTCTTTCTTAATTTCTTTCGATTTAGCTTTGAAGATAAATTTTAAAAAGTGACGACATCTTTTTCTTTTCGTCTTTGGGTTACGAGGGTATTGGTATAAAAGCATAAAAAGAATAAAAAACAAGAACTGTAAGTCCTGTGACCGAATTTAAAGAATTTGAGCTACGATTTAAATTTAAGCCGCGGCTTAAATATGGTTGGTTCCACTTAAAATTGTATCAAATGTTTCAAGATTTAAGCCGGCGCTTAATTTAAACCGGGTTTTGGCAGATTTAAACCGCGGCTCAAATTCTTTAAATTCTATCTCTGGTTAAAAATACTGAGACTTAACTTTAGAACCCATTTTCACCCATTAACTGAAAATTTTCCGTTTTTACTATTTTACACTTTTTGTTAGACTTTGTTTTTAAAACATTTAGGTATATCAAGTCTCATGTGCTATTTCTGACAGATTTTGAATGAGAGATCAAAATATGACAAAAATATTCCGACGCGGAGAGAAAACAAAAACGACTAAGGAATTGAGTTTTTTCTTTGCAACCTAATGTGGTAAAGCTTTGATATTTCAAACTTAGATTATTTTATCTAACAGATTTAATAGTTTGAAACATCAAAGGTTTAGGACATTGTGTTGCAAAGATATAAGGATTAGAAAATAAGAGCATGTGACAAAAACTCAGTTCCTTTTCATCATATTTGGGATCTGAAACAAACTTTTGACACCAAATACACTTTTATACTGTAAAAATGGCTTTACACTCTCCATTAAACAAAATTAAAACGAATATTACAGCTAACTATCGCATGCACTTGTTCTTAGAATTCAAATAAGGGAAGAATGACATGATTTCTAATACTGAAGAACAAGTTTGATTGTATATGGTATTTAATGAGGACTAGATCGACTGCTGACTGCTAACCCCCCCCCCCCCTTCCCACCTCTAATAAAAAACTGCCTCTAACTATTGAAAAAACAATTTTTTTGCAAAGGGCAATATATCCCCTGGCACATTTGGTCTTCTGTGACAAATAAAATGTTTTCATAACAGAATTTAAACCTCAAATGTCATCAAGGTCAGAAGAATGGAGAATAAGAAAGGTAGGTAGGATAAGAAAGGAGGAATCAGAAAGGAAGAAGAATGGAGATGGTAGGAAAAGAAAGTTAGAGAAAGAAGAGAAAGAAGGAAGGAGAAATAGAAAAATAACTGAAAAGAATGGGGAAAGAGTACAAGGAAGGAAACGAAAATAGAAGGAAAAGAAAATAGAAGGAAAATTAAAGGAAGGAGAAAAAGGAAAGGAGCTGAACATGAGGGGGAAAGAGGAAAAGGAAGGAGAAGGAAAGAGAATGAAAAATAAGGAAGGAAATGAAGGACTAGAACGAAGAAGGATGGAGAAGGAAGGAAAAGGAAGGAGAAGGAGGGAGACGGATGGAGACGGTATAAAAAGCACGAAATAGAAGGAAGGAGAAGGAACGAGAAGAAAAGAGAAGAAAGGAGAAAGAATGAGAAGAAAAGAGAAGGAAAAAGAAGGAAGGAGAAGAAAAGAAAAGAAAGGAGAAAGAACGAGAAGAAAAGAGAAGAAAGGAGAAAGAACGAGAAGAAAAGAGAAGAAAGGAGAAAGAACGAGAAGAAAAGAGAAGGAACGAGAAGGAAGGAGAAGAAAAGAGAAGGAACGAGAAGTAAGGAGAAGAAAAGAGAAGGAACGATAAAAAGAAGAAGGATTGATAAGGACGTTGAAAATTAATCAGACAAAAAGAAGAAAGAAGAATTACAATGGAGAAATAAGGAAAAGGAAAGAGATTTTATCCAATTTCAATTGTCAATTTACTTTAATAAAAATCTAAAAAAGAAAGAGAAGGAAGGAAGAAGGACAGAGTAGAAACGAGAAAGAGAAGAAGTACTAAGAAAAACGGTGAAAGGGGAGAAGGAACTTAGGAAGTAGACTTAAAGGAGAAGGAAGGAGGAGGAAGAAAAAGAAAGGAGATTTTATCCAATTTAAATTTAAAAATTCTACTTCGATAAAAATAATTTTTTTCAAGCTTCAACTTTAAAAATTGATGATGGTAATTTCATTTTATTATATTTGCGTTACAAAAATAATTATAGGTAATTGCTGAAAAATAGTAGAGATTAGATTTAAAACAATGCTTTGCACGCTTTGCACACAATTTATATGATCATTGAAGCGTTAAAATGTTTTTCATATTTTATTTTTAAATTAAATTGTGTTGATTTTAGAAAATATTTCTAAACAGAAGAATTCAACCTCTTGAAACCAGTATAGTGGTTGAACTCTTTACTCGGATTGTTTTTGGTCTACCAGATCCTCCTGAACCGGAGTCTGGAACTCCCATCCAGGCCAGGTTCTTGTCTCCGGAGTAATCCGAACCATACATCCAACCCGAGCAGGTATTTTTCCCCTGGCCTTCTCCACCCAACCATCCTACCAGCATACCACCCCCTAGATAATATAGACATTCTTTACATTTACATTTACATTTACATTTACATTTACATTTACATTTACATTTACATTTACATTTACATTTACATTTACATTTACATTTACAGGGCAAAAACAGTGATAACTGGTGAAAATATATAATATTCTTTTTCCAAAGGATTTGAAATTCTAAGAATTCATTCTAATTCGCTCGTATACCACAGTAAAATCACCAATTTCCACACTACACTACTTTTAATACACTTATAGTAAACGTAATTTAAAGTTAGAACATTTCACAGACATAGGACTTTTCATATACAATTCAGATTTTTCTTAGACAGAGAAGATTTTTCATAGACAGAGAAGATTTTTCATAGACAGTGAAGATTTTTCATAGACAGTGAAGAATATTCATAGACAGAGAAGATTTTTCATAGACAGAAGATTTTTCATAGACAGTAAAGAATTTTCATAGACAGAGAAGAGTCTATGAAGTCTATGAAGACAGAGAAGATTTTACATAGACAGAGATTTTTCATAGAAGGAGAAGAATTTTCAGAGACAGAGAAGAGTTTTCATAGACAGAGAAGATTTTTTATAGACAAAGAAGAATTTTCATAGACAGAAGAATTTTCATAGACAGAGAAGAATTTTCATAGACATTGAAGAATTTTCATAGACAGAGAAGATTTTTTATAGACAGAGAAGAATTTTCATAGACAGAGAAGATTTTTTTTAGACAGAGAAGAATTTTCATAGACAGAGAAGAATTTTNTATAGACAGAGAAGAAATTTTATAGACAGAGAAGAAATTTTATAGACAGAGAAGAAATTTTATAGACAGAGAAGAAATTTTATAGACAGAGAAGAAATTTTATAGACAGAGAAGATTTTTCATAGACAGAGAAGAGTTTTCATAGACAGAGAAGATTTTTCAAAGACAGAGAAGATTCTTTATAGACAGAGAAGATTTTTTATAGACAGAAAAGATTTTTTTATAGACAGTGAAGATTTTTCATAGACAGAGAAGATTTTTCATAGACAGAGAAGATTTTTTATAGACAGAGAAGATTTTTCATAGACAATGAAGATTTTTCATAGACAGAGAAGAATTTTCATAGACAGAGAAGATTTTTCATAGACAGAGAAGATTTTTTATAGACAGAGAAGATTTTTCATAGACAGTGAAGAAATGTTATTATATTTTATTTTTTTTATATTTCATATCTAAATTGTTTTGCAATGTATCTGTCTCAACTAACAAGAAAAATAGAGAATAAGTTGTGAAGTTAAAATCAGAGAGATCGTAGAAATAACAGGGAATGATTTATTAGATTACTTGGCCGGCAGATGAAAAAATGGATTTTTCTATGAAAAATATTTTCATAGATATAAAATCTCCTGTACGTCTATGAAATGTCTTGTCTATGAAATGTCCTGTCTATGAAATGTCCTGTCTATGAAATGTCCTGTAAATGAAATGTATTTTCTACCGTATGTCGTGTCTATATGAAATGTCTTTGATGAAAAAACACCGTTTTTGTTTGCCTTGAATCTTGTCTTAAAATAATTTACTTAAGCTTTACTAAATGATTTGGCAAAGACTTTGTACAGTCGTCTCAGAGCCCGAAAGGAATTGAGTCATATTGCCACAAACTATGATTTTTAATCTCATTAGCTCTACAACCCACTGTTGTAGACCCTTGATATTTCAAACTATAAATGCTGATGGATCAAATAATCAAAGTTTGAAATATCAAAGGTTTACGCCATTTTTAGAGATATAGGTATTAGAAAATTGGGATTTGTGGCAAAGACTCAACTCCTTTAAAAGAATATCGTTGAACGAAACTCCCGAGTTTCCTTTTTGGGGTCTTATTATTTGTGTAGATTTTGATTTAAGAGATTCGAAAAAAATGGTAAAATATGAAGAAACTAAATAATATAATATTTTAAAACAAAAATATCGATATCTTCAAAACTGTGTTAACCCATTTGTGAAACCCGGGTTCCAAAACTGGTTTTCATAACGATACCCTGTCTTAAGTTTTGGGCTCTTGAGTCATATTCTTTGTGGGTAACCCTGTACTTCGCACCTTGGAATGAGAAATTCTGTATCATAAATGCATAATGTTAATTGATCTATAATTATATTGTAACGTATTCTTGCAACTAAGTCAATTAAATAATTGCACTGATAGATTTGCATAAACCAGGCAAGATCAGTTTTTGTAATGTTTTCATTAAGTGCATTGTATAAAATACTTGCCGAAGTGCTCGGCGTTGCCCGTGGAATTAAGAAATCTAATTTTAAAAAAATGTTTTGCCTATGTTACCCCCAGGATACCCCTGGGTGTTCCCTCCGAAAATGTCAGCCCATTCGGTTCAGCCGTTTTGGCGGCTATAGGGAACATATATACGAACGTCTTGTTTTATTATATAGATAATGTATAAAGAGTAAAGAGTCCAAAATTAAACTTTTAAGAGAGTCTTCTTAATCGAAACGAATTATGGTTTGATTAATGAGGTCTTAACAATTGTGACAATTTGTTTTTGAGAAACAGAGCATTAAGTTATTCTGAGAACGCCCAAAAATATTTGCCAATGAATGAAGATATTTTAAAGGTTTTGGGTTTTACTCGGAACTCACTTTAAACCGGGTTTCTGATATGAACTCTCTTAAGTTTGAGGCTCTATATCATTACCTGCAGGATTGTATTGAGCTGCAGGGGGAGCAGAAATAGTTCCTTCTAGAGCCTGCAACCTGAATATACATAAATATGAAAAACCATGTATACTGAGCTGCAGGGGGAGCAGAAATAGTTCCTTCTAGAGCCTGCAACCTGAATATACATAAATATGAAAAACCATGTATACTGAGCTGCAGGGGGAGCAGAAATAGTTCCTTCTAGAGCCTGCAACCTGAATATACATAATATGTAACACCCTGTATACAAAGTTACAGGGGGAGCAGAAATAAAGTTCCTTCTAGAGCCTGCAACCTGAATATACATAAATATGAAACACCCTTTATAAAGAGTTACAGGAGGAGCAGAAATAGAGTTCCTTCTAGAGCCTGCCCACTGAATATACATAAATATGAAACACCCTTCATACAAAGTTACAGGGGGAGCCACTCTCAGAATAGGTCCTAGATACAAGATTAAAAAAATGGTTCTTTCCCTGCAATTTGGCTAGCTGCAGAAACATCCAAAAAATTAATTTATTTTTATTTTCAAAATTAGCCGAAGTATGATTGAAGGATGGATGAGAAATAGACGATCAAGAAGAAAGAATAAAACACAAGAAATATAGAAGTCTCAAAATGTTTCCATCTGATATCATATTGAAATTTAAAAATTTTGTAAAATTTAATTAAAATAAAAAATTAAAGTTAAAATTCTCCCTCCTCCTAATAGTTATCAGCAGCACAGCTGACCTACCTCTTAGCTAGATTATTCTCCCTCCTCCTACTAATCCCTTCCTCTGCTCCTGGATATCCTGGATATGAGACAGTATTAACCATAATCTGCTGGGGGTGTATCCTCTGCTTGTTTGGATATTGTCGTCTCTTCAACCAGCGGGCTCCAGGGCATCCTCTACATATCAAATGTTAGATACATAGGGTAAACCACACAGGATAAGACAATTGTACGTAATTTATGCTGTCTGTTTCCTAATATTTATGATATTTTGTAAAGAAATCAGTCTTTGCCATTTTCTATGATTTTCTAATGTCTATATTTCGCAGACCTTAGATATTTCAAACTATGGATTCTGTTAGATCAAATTTTCCAAGTTTGAAAAATCAAAAGTGTAAACCATCAGATTGCAAAGATATAGTATAGGGATTAGAAAGTTCGTGGAAAAGACTCAATTCCTTTAAACTTCTGTCTTTTGTTTTACCAAATCGTTAATTAGCCATTAAAAGGCTGTATTCAAGACAGAAGACTTAATTTAATGTTGTAATAGTCATATCATATGAATTACAGGTGATTTTTACAGTTTGTTCCTTTCAGGGGCGGATCCACCTCCTAGAAAATGGGGGGGGGGTCAACTCCCAATAAATGGTGGGGTGGGAGCGCCGAGCAAAAACCCCCTCCCATAATTTTTTAAGGGATTTGCATTGAGAGTGAGTACTTTAAGCGCTGAAAGTAGCAAATTACTCTTAAAATATGTAGAAATATTGCCACCTTAGTTAGTACTGTACTTTAAATTTTTCACTCAGGAATTGAGGGAAGAAAAATATTGACATATAAAAGGATAACAAGGTTAGGTCGAGGATATCAAGGATAGGTCGAGGATATCAACGATAGGTCGAGGATATCAAGGTTAGGTCGAGGATATCAAGGTTTGGTCGAGGATAGCAAGGTTAGATCGAGGATATCAAGGTTAGGTCGAGGATATCAAGGTTAGGTCGAGGATAGCAAGGTTAGGTCGAGGATATCTCATTTTAAAATCAAAATGGCTTCCTTAAATCAGGTTTTAAGACGTTAAAAATGAAAAAAGTCACTAGTTTAGGAAAACAAAATTTTTAAGAGCATTTTGATTTGGGTAGCAATAAAATCTGCGTGAAAACTGAAAACAATTTAAAGAGTTCAAAAATATTTAAAATTGAGTCAAAATTTTTTTTCTATATCTAAATTTTTCTTAGAACTCAATAAATGTGTTTTTTTTTTGCTTTATATCGGTTAATTTTAAATATTTTTATATTCAATAATTTGATTTATATTCCGGAAAACAACCGAGTTTCAAAAATACACATGAATCGAATTTCTGTTTATTTTCGATTTATTTGTCTTACTGTTTTTTTTCTCCATTTTTTATCATTACATAATCCATTTCAGGGAGAAATTTCGGATTTTTGAAAAAATTGCATTTTTAAAACATTTCAAATAGAATACAATTTTTCTTCTGCAAAATGATTTCTGAAAAATGTCACAAAATTTCACACCCATATACTAGTGTTTTGATGTTGCAGTAATTTTACTAAAAATTATAATGTGTTTCAATGCTGAAATTATGATAAACTTAGTTTTTTAGATAGGAAAGACTCATGTTCAATAACTTAACAGCATTGGTTAAAACTTAAAATCTATCGGATTAATGAAAAGTAGAAGTATCATGTTTTATCAATGAATTAAAAATTGTTTTTTTTTCAAAGCGCCTTAAAGTAAACTTTTAATTTAGTTTCTAGAAGGGGGGGGGGTCAAACAAACTCTTGACCCCCCCCCTCTGTATCCGCGCTTGCAGTTCCTTTGATGTGTATTATTACAGTAAAGCATGCATGTAAATTAGTAAGTATGTATTTGATTTAGAGTTATTAACAAACTAGCTGCAGTGCCCGGCGGTGCCCAGGTTTATATTATCATTGATTTAATATCATGATTTTGGTGCCCGGCGTTGCCCTTGGAAATTTAAAAAATTTCAATTTTGTCTGACATTGTCACCCCAGGGTGCCCATGTGGTCCCTCAAAAAATGTCAGCCAATTTGGTCCAGCAGTTTGGCCAGCTATAGCTAATATTTAAGTATTCTATTGATGTCAAAATGTGCAAGTTGTGTGAGCTCTCCAAAATGGGGGTTGAACCTTTAAATTAAAAAAGGCCTCATATGATTTGACAATTTTGGAGGATCAAAAATGGCAGACCACGCTAGGGAAATCCCAAGATATTCATTTGTTCATTATTCATCCTAGATTTCTCCTATTATAGGATGTACGAAAAATGACTGAAAAATTAATGACAAAAAATCCCATTATTTTTGAAGCAACCTGTAAAATTAAACTCAATAAGAACGATATACCTGCAAATAAAGCAGAAACATAGAAGAAGAACAAGTGATACAACAAGAAATATCGGAATCAAGAAACCAAGAGTTTTCTTAGCACTGAAAAATAATAATAACAATGATGATGCTGGTGATAATAATAATAATAATAAAAATTATTGTCCCTCCTCCTACTAATTATCAGCAGCACAGCTGACCTACCTCTTAGCTAGATTATTCTCCCTCCTCCTACTAAATAATAATAATAATAAAAATTAGCTGAAGTGGCCGGCGTTGCCCGTAAAATAAAAAATCGAATTTTGAAAAAAAGAAAATTTAGATTTTTGGGAAAAAAATGTCGAATCTTTTTTAGCCTATGTTACCCCCAGGGTAACCATAGGTTTACTAAAAAAATTCGGCCACTTTTGTCCAGCTGATTGGCCAGTTATAGCTAAAATATATATATACATACATCATGGGCGTATTCAGGGGGGGGCTATGGGGGCTAAGCCCTCCTGGACCAGTGAAATCTATTGATTTCAGTGGGTTTTCAGGCCCCAAAGGGTTCTGAGCCCCCCCCCCTGGAAAAATTCCTGAATACGCCCCTGACATACATATACAAATATAATAGCAAAGAGCTTTATTATATTGATGTATCTACCTGCAGCCCTCTAAACAACTGAAGAAAAGAACATGGTTCTCCCATTCATCCCTTGTTGCATCATCCCTGAAATAAATGTTTACCAAATTGTTCTTGAGGAAACCCAGGAGTATCTTTGGGATTTAAAATTTAAAAACTTTGCTCAATTTTTTTTTCAAAAGTTTAAAATTTTAAATTCCACGGGCAACGCCGGGCACTTCAGCTAGTCTCTATATATGTCTGATATCCTTATCTCTAGCTGGATATCTATATATCCCTGTATCTACCTGTATCCCTGTATATATCCGATATCCTTATCTCTAGCTGGATATCTATATATTCCTGTATCTACCTGTATCCCAGTATATATCTGATATCCTTATCTCTAGCTGGATATCTATCTACCTGTATCCCTGTATATATCCGATATCCTTATCTCTAGCTGGATATCTATATATTCCTGTATCTACCTGTATATATCTGATATCCTTATCTCTAGCTGGATATCTATATATTCCTGTATCTTATCCCTGTATATATCTGATATCCTTATCTCTAGCTGGATATCTGTATATTCCTGTATCTACCTGTATCCCGGTCTATATCCGATATCCTTATCTCTAGCTGGATATCTATATATTTCTGTATCTACCTGTATCCCTGTATATATATGATATCCTTATCTTTAGCTGGATATCTATATATTCCTGTATCTACCTGTATCTCTTTACATATCTGATATCCTTATCTCTAGCTGGATATCTATATATTCCTGTATCTTATCTCTGTATATATCTGATATTCTTATCTCTAGCTGGATATCTATATATCTCTGTATCTACCTGTATCCCTGTATATATCTGATATCCTTATCTCTAGCTGGGTATCTATATATCCCTGTATCTACCTGTATCCCTGTATATATCTCTTATCTCTAGCTGGATATCTATATATCTCTGTATCTACCTGTATCCCTGTATATATCTGATATCCTTATCTCTAGCTGGGTATCTATATATCCCTGTATCTACCTGTATCCCTGTATATATCTGATATCCTTATCTCTAGCTGGATATCTATATATCCATGTATCTACCTGTATCCCTGTATATGTCTGATATCCTTATCTCTAGCTGGATATCTATATATCCCTGTATTACCTGTATCCCTGTATATGTCTGATATCCTGATCTCTAGCTGGATATCTATATATTCCTGTATATACCTGTATCCTTGTTTATATCTGATATCCTTATCTCTAGCTAGATATATCTAATATCCTTATCTCTAGCTGGATATCTATATATCCCTATGTCCACCTGTATCCCTGTATATATCTGATATCCTGATCTCTAGCTGGATATCTATATATTCCTGTAATTACCTCCATCCCTGTATATATCTAATATCCTTATATCTAGCTAGATATATCCGATATCCTTATCTCCAGCTGGATATCTACATATTCCTGTATCTACCTGTATCCCTGTATATATCTGATATCCTTATCTCTAGCTAGATATATCTGATATCCTTATCTCTAGCTGGATATCTATATATTACTGTATCTACCTGTATCCCTGTATATATCTGATATCCATATCTCTAGCTGGATATCTACATATTCCTGTATCCACCTGTATCCCTGTATATATCTGATATCCTTATCTCTAGCTGGATATCTATATATCCATGTATTACCTGTATCCCTGTATATATCTGATATCCTTATCTCTAGCTGGATATTTGTAAATATTCTCTGGTTCTGCTTCACACTCTGTCCAACATCTCTGCAGTCAAAGCATATTTAAATCATTTGCTCGTTTTTAATTTTCATGAGGTATAAACTTTTGAACAACGTCTAAACTCGATATCCACACCGGAAACTTTTAAGTTAGACTAAGTACTTAAAAAGCAAACAACTTGTACCTTTGCGATCTCACCTTGGCTGAATTTTTGTAACATTTTAGGAAATCAGCAATTTTAGAGATATCCGAATGGAATTATCTTAATCCTTCGGACCACGAAAGAAGCTGACTACGGATGAGTGCTTTCTGGAGTTTTTTGAAAATGTTGTTCCTGGATTTTCCAGTAAAATTTTATTATGTTCCTGCATGGCAGAAGATGGATCCCACAGGTTTTCCAGCTCCGACGCCATTTTTACATTTTTTATACCTACCAGAAAAAAATAAGCTATAAAAAAATAATGGCATACATAGTACTTACAGGTTTTCTCTACTACTGTAAGATTGTAATTGTATTTTTGATTGCTAGTCCGGATAAGTAAAAACAGCCTTATTATGCAAAATTAAAAAATTGTATTGCGTTTTGTTGAGAAATGTTCAATCAGTCATAAATGTATGTATAACGTGTAATAAGACAATGAATTGTGCAAATGGACTTGCATTCCAAAATATGTTAAATATGTCCCAAAAAACATGGGAATTAAGTGACGAATTGGATATCGTCTTTGTTATGATTTAGCATTGTAATACCTAATTTCAAAAGCCTTAATATCATTATGTCTGCTAGAGTTTATTTTATGAAAAGGGTAAATGGCTGTAAAGATATGTACGTCTATAATGTCTCCGCAAGTTGAACAGTGAAGACGGACAAGTTTACTCTGTAATTTTCTTGTTTTACTAAGTACAACCTGCAGTCAAAACATAAACAAACAGATTACAGCTTTCTCAGTAGATATCACGTTTCTAAATCAAAGAATTATTTAAAAAGACGATATCAAATTCGTCACTGGATTCCCATGTTTATTGGGACACCCTGTTTATCGAATAATTTCCTGTTCCTATTCTGTATAATTTCCTGTTCCTATTCTGTATAATTTCCAGTTCCTCTTCTAAATAATTTTTTTCTCTAATTCTGAATCATTTTCTATTCCCTGCTTCTCTTCTGAATAATTTCCTGTTCAAATTCTGAATTATTTACTGCTCCTACTCTGAATAATTTCCTGCTCTTATTCTAAATAATTTCCTGCTCCTATTCTAAATGATTTCCTTCTCCAATTCTGCATAATTTTTCTTGCTCCTATTCAGAATAGTTTCCTGCTCCTATTCTGAATAATTTCCTGCTCTAATCCTGAATAATTTCCTACTTCTATTCTGAATAATTTCCTGCTCTAATTCTGAATAATTTCCTACTTTTGTTCTGAATAATTTCCACCGACAATTCTGAACACTAACTGCAGGAAACTCAGGTTGTTGGTAGTGTAACCAAGGTATATTGGGCAGCTTTCCTTTAATAATGTTTTTCACGCAGAAAGCTGAAAACCTACTTTCTTACATATTATACGAAGTAAAGCCAAAGGCAATGTTTAATTAAAATGTGCACATTCAATTTTCTTAAACATTATTCCTCTATAGTTCTCTGATCTATTCATGTTCCATTAAGTAATTTCCTTGAGAACGATTTATGGACCACCCTCCCCCCCCTCGTGTCAATTTTGTACATGGAATAACACATGGATATAATTGATCATGTGGCCGCAGCTCTCGGCCCCCTAGCCTGTCCTAGCCGCGGCGCTCGGTCCCCTAGCCTGGCCTAGCCGCAGCGCTCGGCCCAATATCCTGTTCTTGCCGCAGCGCTCGGCCCAGAAATTGTCTTAACCTAACCTAACCTAAAATAATAAAAAAATAATAATGTTTTTGGGGGGTACAAAAATCATACTCTAGGACGGACCCTTTCATTATTCCTCTTTAGTTCTCTGATCTATTCATGTTCCATTATTCCTCAATAGTTCACTGATCTATTCATGTTCCATTATTCCTCTATAGTTCCCTGATCTATTCATGTTCCATTATTCCTCAATAGTTCACTGATCTATTCATGTTCCATTATTCCTCTATAGTTCCCTGATCTATTCACGTTCCATTATTCTTGTAGAGCTAAGCTCACTGATCTATTCTTGCATCTTGTATTAATACTTATTTCGTGTTGCAAGTGAGGGGTTTAGGGTCCCATATTTTCTTCGTGATAAGCTCGTTTTAGTACTTCATCAGATGAAACTCTGTCTCCGTTTAAAAATTTTATTTACTTTATATTTCGCAATGCAGATTTCATCCACACATTTCCTTGACTTAAAGAACGACTGAATTGGAATTTTTTTCAAGCTCTTTCCCAGTTCTGTGCGACTGCTGACTTTTATCTCTTTTAAACCCTAACTGACTCTCATTCATAAACTATATTTCAGGCAGATTACCAATGTCTCATGTCCGGAGAAACGCCACCTCTTTTAAACTTTAAATATAAATCTTTGTTCGTCATTATGAAGGGGGTGCAAAGCCGCCATGAGCCCTGCAAAATGACCTCCGGAGCCTTCAGATTCGCAGAATGAGCTCGTAGCCAATGAAAATCATTCCCGAGCCTCCGCAACTCTTACTCCACGTCCAGCATTCTTACTTATAACAAATATTTAACTTTTACATCCACAAAAAGCCCTTTGTTCGAAAAATCTCACCATGATCAAAAAGTTTTTAATAAGACAATTTGTTTTAAAAAGTTAACTCTAATTGCGATTAAGACTTCTTTTCTTGTTTTTCTAAATTTCAAAGATTCTTAAACTTGTGCATAACTATTCCAGCTTATGATAAAGATAATTTTTTAATGTAATTTCACAGGTGTATCATGTACGAATCTAACTAAATAACCACCAACTCACAAAACATAATAGTTTTTGTGAAATACTTGAAATTGTACTTTTATTGTATTTTATTATTTAAGTATTTCACAAAAATTACTGTGTTTTGTGAGGCGAAAAAAGGCTTTTAGTGGATGTAAAAGTCAAATATTTGAGATTGGAGATAAGAATACTGGACGTGGAATAAGAGCTGCGGAGGCTCGGAGACGTACCTTGAAGCAAGTGATTTTCATTGGCTTTGCACCCCCTCCCTCTCGTCATAAGTCTCAGCCTTTCAGGACGATTTTGCAGTAACCATCTTAACAGAAATATTTTTTCATCTAGTCCAATACAAATTGATAAATGAGCAATTAACCGTTACAAACAAAGGTTTCAACTATATCAAATTTTCTATTAAACATTGAAATAATATTCCATTTAAAAAGTAACAACCATAACATAAGCCTAAGAGAGCTATATAAGCATCAAAATGGAATAAATCACTGGATTAACCGACTATAACCTAACATAAGCACAAACATAAAAAACTTGTATTTCCATACACATTACGCGCTCACAGAATCTCTTCTGGATATAATTGCTTCCCCATCTTTCTGTTTCTGCGAGTCTCAAGACACCCCAGACTTTAAGCCAATTTCTTATCCATGTTACCTTAGGTACAACCAAGTACAATTATATAGGCCTTATCTATCTACACTGCTTTGTTGAAGCGTTACTAGTGAAACTATGGTAGAACGTCTAAGAAATTGGCCATTAATCTTTGATCTTTCTGATAAATGATGACATACCGAGGGATGGGGTGCAAAACTCCAAGCCCCGCATAACCGTCTCCGCAGTTTGATCTCGCCTTGGTGTATTTATTTTATTTACCTTGTCTGGCTTATCCAATCAAAATATATCTTCTATCTTTATGTATAATTGCACAAATTATTTTCAAAATTAAGAAATTTGTGAAATTTAGAAAACAAAAACAAGTCTTAATCCAAGTTAACATAGACTTTTCTGATCATGCTGAGATTAGAAAAAAACGCACAAAAAGAAATGACACAGGAAATAAAAGAACTGAAATAATTCAACCAGTTTCTTATGGTTTCATTTATAGGATATAACCGGCGTATAGGTCGGAACAAATTGGCCTTTTAAAGAGTATATCAGATTTTACACCAGAATAAACTCTTCTCTTCTCTCTGTTGAAATAAAACAATATATTACGCACTGGTAATTTTATTCATAAAAGTTTCTTGCTTGACAAATATAAGATTAACATTACCAACGAATAGAAGCGTAAGATCCAACACAGCAGATTATGTGAGAGTCCGTTCTAATACAAAACAGACAGCACTGCCAGATCGGATTTATCAACAATTTTCAACAAAATATAAAAAAACACAAACGAGATTAAGCTTCAGTATTCGGGTAAAGCCTTGACACTGAGCTGGCCCTAATCTATAGTTCCACGTGGAACTGAAGAACGCAAACTTTATTTACAGTCATAGTATCACAGTTGGGTTGCGCGGAGTTTAGTTTTCAACTATATTCAAAGAGTAGACGTTAATGTTTTGAGGGTTGATGCTGTGTAGGTGGAGGCGATTCATCCCGCCACCAGAACTAACCCCCGCACTAGGCTGAGACTATGCGTTTGCTACTGTTACTTTTCACCAAATATTATCACCGTACATTGTCTTATCATCACGATCAAAGAAACTTTAATTTTTGGCATTCTCGAGAAAGACTAATACTTTTTTTTATCAATCATAATGATATATAAATATATAGCAATATTACATAAGGTGATATTTTCAAAATGCAATGCTCTTCCTCCGTTATTAGCTAAGGATGTAAATTTTGAACAGTGCCGGACCGGGGCGCAGTGCCGAGTACAAAATGTTCCGTGACATTGGGTTCCATTTAATACAGCAGGATAGAGGGACAAGTCGAGGTACGAATACATGTACCAACATGTCTCAAATTAAGGCAACACTTTTTTTAATATTCGAAATTCATTAATGCCTCACAATTTGTCCAGAATTGAGGTTTTTCTTCTACAGGTTCCGAGATGTAGGATTGGAAGGCAGGGTTTACGAGATTAGTTGAGGGAGGTTGGGAACCCCTTGTCCAGGGACTTACAACTTGTCAGCAAGGAAATTTCTATACAATCTACCTACATTTAGTTCCTCAAGGAAGGGATAGTTCCCCGCCCCGAGGAGTGCAACCAGAGGAGGTTCCGAGGTTATTTGCCTCCTCTGAGAGGGATATCCCTCCTGAGGAGTGCAGGGGAGGATAGAGAGGTGAGAACACTCCTCCTCCTCCTTCTCTGCACTCTTGTGTAGAGTTGCTTAGCTGTCCCACCAATCAACGTTGCCGCCACCGCCTCCTCCGTAACTTCCGCCGTAGTTGTCTGAAATAAATTTTAGATTAAAAAAAAAACATCGGGTTTGATTTTGGCTGAAAACTCTTAAGGATAGAAGACAAAAAACATTTGGAAAACTTACTTCGAGCAGCAGCAGGTCCGCTCCAGTTGCTTCCGCCTCCTCCTCCGCTTCCAGAAGTTCCCCATCCGCCGCCACCCCCACCATATCCACCACCTCCTCGTCCACCGCCTGCTCCACCTCGTCCTCCTCCGCCACCACCACGGCCTCCGTTCTCGAATCTGTAATCCTTTCCGCCGAATCCGGATCCGCCAAATTTACCACCCTTTCCGCCGCGGCGGTTGGGTTGGTAACCTCGGTTCTCCAGGGACATAGCCTCCAGCCAGCTGGGCAGTTCTTGGTTTGACTCAACAATCAGTTCTACCAGGTCCTTCACCAGGTTCCTGTTCTTGTCATTGAAGAAGGAGGTCGCCAAACCCAGATTTCCCATTCTACCAGTTCGACCAATTCTAAAGAAAAAATGCGTCAATTCTTAAGAAATTTCAGAAAGACAATTTCCCCTATTAAAGTTTGACTCATATGTAAAAGTGACTGTCGTGGTAATATTAAAGGACGCTCACTCCATTGAAAATAAAAAAGAGGGACATGCCACATTCAAAACGGTACCCTTGAAACATTTATCTGAAGAATAATGTGCAAGATATTTTTCTAGGTTTAGCGTTTAATTCTAATAATTCCTTTACGTTTTAGTCACTTTCCTTAAAAAACATTTTTCAAAGAGAAAAAATTTCAGAATCTCGTTCTTTCTTTCAGACAAAGCTTCAGGGGTGTATATTTTTCTGTTTGCCCCCCCCCCCTCATGAGAGTAAAAATGAGCTTTCATTGGGTTTAGGGGAAAAGATGAAGAAAAAAGGAAAAGTGGGAAGGGAAGGGGAAAAGGGGAAGTGAAAAGGGGAAGAGGGAAGGGAAAAGGGAACAAGGAGAAAAGAGTAGGGAAAAGGAGAAGAGAGAAGGGATCCAAGAGAAAAGGAAAAGGGAGGAGGGAAAAGGAAAACGGGGGGAGGGGATGGAAAGGGGGAAAAGGGAAGGCCAATTATAATAATATAAGTAAAGTAAAATAAACATATTTCTTTTAATTTGCATCCCCACCAAATTTTTTTTTTACAAAAAACAGAATCAGAAATGATTGAAAAAACTCTTCCTGGGGACCATGAAGTTGACTTTTTGAGCTACAAAACGCTTCATTACAGTACAGTACAGTACAGTACAGTACAGTACAGTACAGTACAGTACAGTACAGTACAGTACAGTACAGTACAGTACAGTACTAAACTCCAAAATTTTCTCTGCAAGATTGCTCGAGCTTTAGAAACCTGTAAAGTACACCTGTTTTTGAATCAAGGAAATGGGGGAAAAATACGAGTCTCGAAATTAATATACACCCCAGCAAAGCTTTTCCGAGTCCCATTGTGAATTGAACACACCACTATAAATAGAGCAACCTTGAAATTACGTATACACTATACAGTCCCTTTAGATGATCCTCATTATACCTGTGAACGTATTCTTCGACGTCGCTGGGCATGTCGTAGTTGATAACGTGCTTCACGTTAGCAATATCTAATCCTCGAGCAGCGACAGCGGTAGCGACTAAAATATGATAAGTTATGCACATATTCGACCAGTGCTTAGGATTTGGATCCAAGGGGTAAAATATCAACCAAAAACGGCAAAAAAAAATTTCAATCCTAAAACCCAAATCTTAACTTTTGAAAAAAGAGATTTCCTCATTTCTGAATGATCCATCAAGTTTGAGGATAAAAATATGCGAAAAAAAGCTAACAAAAAATTGAAAATTTTTTTTTTTTTTTAAATTCAGTTAATCAGTAAAGAAATGACTTGGATTCGGATTTAGAGAAAATGCAAAGGAGTATTAAAGATCCTTGATTCTGGGATGTAAACAGGAATTGACATGGGTCGTGTACAGTACAGTGTACAGTGTACACGTACTATTTTTTCCAGTGCGGATCCAGGAAGCAGATCCGCATCAAAACTAAATGGATCCTAAGCACTGCATTCGACACTTATTCAAATGCATTTATTACGGGGTAAGGGGATGGTTCATTCATGGGACAAAATGAAGATTGGAAATTACGAAAAATTCTTCTTTTTTAAGTGGCTGATTATTAATTGTCAGTTTCAGCAAGTATTAGTAAAAAAAACTGCTTAGATGAGTTCGGCCCAAGAAAAAACATACAAGGAAGGGATTAAAGAGGACGTTAAATTTTATTTTTTCAAACTGCATTCACAGAAAGTATTGAATGTCGTCTATTAACAAGGAGGTTTTTTCCAGCTTCTCCAAATACTCACTTTAATTAAATTCCTTCCTAGCTGCGTTATTTAATAACTATTTTCCTCTACTGTAACATCGAACTAACCTATGATAGGAGTTTGTCCTGACTTAAATCTCTTGAGTGCCTCCTCTCTCTCCCTCTGCGTCCTATCTCCGTGTATGCTGGTGACAGGGAATCCCTCCTGGTAAAGGAACTCATCGAGCTGATCAGCTCCCTTCTTAGTTTCAACGAACACCAGGGTACGACTTGCCTAAACAACGATATTTTAAAGATTGTTCAAGTATATCAAAAGTACAGGGGTATAACATATAAGAATATTATCTGGAGGAGGGGGGGGGGGGGGGGGG